AACTTGCCGACGTGTGCTAACATGGCCTCTGCCAGGGCAATGCTGGATTCCTGGGCTGCTTTTTATGCATGTTCTGGGTACTACAGTGTTGACAGCACAGGCATTTTCAATTCTCTGAGGGGTCCCAGTGAGAGGCTCACTGATGGGGTCTTCATTCGAAGGCTACTGGGGAACAAGATGCCAGGGGACGCTGGAATGTCCTCATAGGGGGACATCAAATTTGTGTTTTGTGTGTTTTTTGGTATTCAGATACAAATACACCAAACTGTTGGGTCAGAACGTTCTGGAATGGAATTAGTCCCAGGATTATTATTGGATTTCTTCTTTTTTGATTTGCCTCCCAACGTTTCTCATCCAATGTTAGTTGTGTTTATGGAGATGAATCATAGCCTGCCACCGTGTTTAACATTTTTCAGTCCTGACAACACCCTCACCTATTAAACTAAAATAACCTCCAAGGCAGAATTGGGTGTTGACTTTTAAAACAATTTATATACTGCAGTATAAAAAAATATTTTATTTTAAAGCAAATTGCTTTAGATAAGAACACTTAAAGTCGTAGGGAAGCAGCTGTTCCAACCGTTGCATTTCCGAATTCTCCCGAGTGGTGCACGACTTTACACGAGTGAATAAAGTGAATGTGATTGTTGTGGCGGAAGGTTTGCAAGCACGTTTGGTTGTGGCCGGTTCTTGCTAACCAGTTAGCAACTTAGTGCTAGTAGGTTTCCAATGGGAATTTCCATTGGGACCAAGTAGCAATAAATTGGTGACTTAGAAACAACACTGTCAAGGAACGCTATGGACAGCGGAAACATGCAAGAGGAGGAGAGTTTTGTGTCGGAGGTCGTGGATGAGTCTCCACCGTCATACATCTTTTATTTAGAGGAGGAAAGCGGGGACAAAGATGTTGTTGAAGAGGACGCCAGGGCAGCAGAAGCTTGGTTTGGTCTAGAAGGCTTACAGCCGTACATGATTGAGCCCTTGCCTCACAACGCTGCCAGTTCTGTTAGCTCTACACCTGCTGAAGACACAGATGTCCATCCCCGTGAACACTGGGGCTGAAAATGATTCTTATTTCAACTGTTGCATATATCAGCTGCGACATATGAATCAAGATGTTATAACCAAAAATAATTGATTGACAGATGACCATTGATATATGATTGGCCAAATTTAGGTATACAGGCTGACGTATAACTAACTGGCCTGCATAAAATAACGTAAAAAAAACCACAGATTTTAAGACAGGATTCTTTAAATAGAAATGTTCTAACTTTTGGGACAATATCATCTTATAAAGAGTACATTTATATACATGTTTAAGCCAGAATGATTTGAAATTTAAATATGACTTCCCTATGACTTTAAAGGCAGGTGACTGAGAGTAAAATAATGTTAATTTAAAGTTGAGGCTCAGGTTTATTTTTAACTTTAATTTAATGTCCAAATTTTAAAAAGTTCATGTCTGATTAAATGTATTTAGTCTATTTTTAGTATTTACTTGCTTTTAAACAGGACCAGATAGAACGCAGATTCAGCATTACAGTAAATTGTGAAATACATGGAAAGTAAATAATTATTTAATTATAGTGTTTTATTGCCTGCTTTTGAACCCCCTCCAGATTTTTTTATACCTAGTAAATTTCAACCTTTTTGTTTTCTTTGGAACCTTACGTTAATAAAACTATATTTTTAAATTCAGCATAATTATCAATATTTGATTTATGACAAGGGCTGAAATGAAGGGTGGAATCACTTAAAAGGAAAATAAGACATGGCTGTGTTTTTAATAAGCTGTTTTAATCTGTGTGTGTTCTGGGTAATCCGGTTTATGCATCAGAGCGAGGACCGTTTTCCGATCTCACCATCAGTTTGAGGTTATTTTGGGGATCCTTATTTTTTTCCTACAGGGGACAAATTTGTGTTTTTTTGGAGATAATTTATTTATTTATTGTTTCTTTTACTCATACTTTGCTCTGTTATCTCTGCATCTCACAGAAGAAATAAAAAACAAAAACAGGCCCTTGATGGACTTAAGTAAATTGTGATGCACTTTTGTCAAATGTTTTTTTTTTTTTATCAATTAATTTGACATTTACACTTTTGATCGCTTTCATAACTTTGAAATTACTCTTTAAGTTTGTTGTTTCTTTCATTTTTGTGGTTTCTTGCGATAATTGTGTGTGAGGTTTTTCACAGGTCGGATGCATTGGTACACATCAGCATGACTTCACATGAAGCAAAAAACTTTTTCTTCTTTCGTTGACTGCATGTCATTAGTGTTTTTTTCTTGTTTTTTAAAAGGTGACTCACTCAAGATCACAAAAATATCCTCTCTGTTATTACTTGATAAAATTAAGTATTTTCTTGTTTAGAGAACAAACCAAAAACTTTAAGCAGTTGTTGGTGTTAAAATCTGAGGTTCAGGTTATTTTCAACAGCAACATTAATAAATGTTTTGTTTCACACCGTCTTTATTTAACATGCTATGTTTTTTTTTTTCTAGGAACCCAAACATATTTCAGGGTTTCACCTTTATACAGTGTGATTGTGTCATGGTAAGTAAAGCTTATCTCTCTGCTAACATCGTTCAACCTCTAAAACACTCTTTCTTTCTATGTCCTCCACATATAGTGGCATTAACATAAACAAATCTTGCAAATTCAGTTTTGTTTATAAGATATTAGTTATCACCTCAACACATTTCAGTTTAAGTTTCCTGTTTATTTTTATTGTCCTTATTGTGCATGTGAAACGCCTAAAATTGTACCTTCTATCAATAGGCATAAAGTCATCTTGTCCAACTTAAAATATCATTAGACTGTCGGTGTTCTTTACCACCTCCTCCGCATTTTCTGTGCAATCCGATGATGGGGAATCACATGCATAGTGAAAACTTCCTCTCCTCCTGCGTGGGGGTGTCATCTCTGATGGAACCTATCAGGCAGTCCATATTGTGGCCCACGGACCATTTCTGGATCAATTCTGTTTCTAAACCGCTGTTTCAGAGTGGAGCAAATTTGGCTAGTCTGTGCAAAGCATTTATGTGGGTGGACATCTTTGAATTTACCAGCATGAGAAAATTATAAATTTAAAAAAAAAAAGCTAAAGGGGAAAAATATGTTTTTCTTATTCACTCATTAAATTTTCTGGATTTTTGTGGTCCTACAAGCTATAAAATGAGTTTCTGATTGATTATAGTGAAATGTTTGTGGTGCAGTTCTACTTTGAATTGAAATATTTTGACCTCATCAAATATCAAAGCAACTTATGGTCCTATACAGAACTAAACAACATTACTATAAATGTTATCATTTAATTATTTTCCAGTTGCATAATGGTTAAACAGTATTTTTATTAAAATAATTGTTCCAAATTCCATAGCTGCTTGAAATTATCTGAGAAAATGTGGAAAAACCCATTTGGTGTGGATACCTTTGTAAGGGGCGGTTTAATTACTCTTTATTATCAGTGAAATGCAGCTCTGAAGACAGAAGTGAGGCATATTTTTTTAATTAAAATGATTAAAAACTACATTATCTGCAAACTTTACAAGCACTCATATGGAAGCATTACTGGTTTCAGCACATACACATTTTTTCTTTAAATTAACATATCCGTTTAAGATGTACATGCTTTGAGCATAGAGAGAACCGAGGAGCAAAGAATGACTTAATGAAACGAAAGTGAAACAGGTTCTTTTAAAAAGAAAGTTGATGGAACATTGTGCTCTTTAATTAAACATACAAAATACGTAGCACTGACTTGTACACTGTGGCTTCATGGGTTTTGCATAAACAAGGACAATAAAGTTCATTCAACACACAGATGAGTTGCCACAAATCTCAACATTAAAACAGTTTTACAGGCAGTTTGTGTAGATCTTTGGTTTTCATTTAAAAAAAACACATCAGTATGTGATTTCTCTAGCTGCATGATAGTTTTTTCAGGTTTTTAACCAAGCAGAGGTTTAAGAAGGCTGAGAATACAACATGCTTTTTCTTTGGTAGAAAAGAGAAAACATTTGCGGAATAAAGCGGAAAACTTCTTGCATACATGTATCTCTTCACCTAAGCTCCAAATACAACATCTTTGGATCAGTCTTCACCCCGAGATTAAACCTCAGCTGTGTGGCAACTAGATATTCATCTCTGAGACATAACTATTGTCTTGTAACTTTCAGACACCTGATATGTGTTGTAAATACGTTAGCCCAGCACAGGAGAAAATGATCTGCACAGGCGTGTGAACAAATGCCAGAGCATGATCAGTAAATTAGAGCAAGAGGGACAGTCGTGACCACAAATGCTTCAAAGCATTGCTGATTATTTAGAACAAAGGGACCTGTGCAGAACAAGAGACTGCCCAGAGTGTTGGATAAAAAAGATCCCACCCTCGACCCCTTCTCTTCTTTCTGTCCCCTTAAAAAGGCCCTGGGGACAGTGGGAATGTGCAGACACGCCTGTGCTGCAGGATTGTCATTAACTTTTATTAATTTTTTTTCAAAAGGACACTTGAATTGTGTTTAAACATGTGCAGAAATATTTCATATTTCACTCTGCACAATTTCAAATAACCAAATAAAATATAAAAAAGTAGAAAAAAGAAATAGTGCAAAAAAATAGCTTTTTTATTTATTTTGTAAGCGCAGGAAGGCAAATTGTAAATAGTTTCAAAGATCATGCACTGGAAAAATTGAAATCTAGATAAGTACATTTTTTTCTTAAATAAGTGCATTTGTTTTTGGATTGAGGAGGTAAAAGAGATATTTTGCCAAGGAAACAATACAATTTACAATTAAAACAAGAAAACATAATTGCATTGTATTATATCAAGGGTCTTAATATCTAATTATCTTATTTTAAGAGTAAAAATACTCATTAGTTTGGCAAATTATCCAATTTACCTACTCAAATTAAGGGTAAAAACACTTAATTTAAGAAATTTCAACTTATTTCTAGATAGTTTTTTCCAGCGTGGCTCTAGGATCTTTTTGGGCATAGTTCATTTGGAATAAAGGTTTTAGTGCACCAAAGCTACATTGGAAGGCAACAAAGTTACGTTAAAAGTATTTTTTTTTTCATAATTTAGTTGCAATATATTACAAAAACTCCAAATTCATACTTAACAAACATGGTATATATACTGCTTAAATGCTTATAAAAAAAAGGAAGAATGAAAGATAAACGATTAAGGATTTGGGGTATTTGCATACATTTCCCCAAATTTTGGCTCAAATAAATATCAAGAGTTAACCACGTCATCCAGTTAAAATAATAGAGGAAATAAATTCAGACAAGGTCTTTAAAACCTTTCGGGGGAAAAAAAGAAGTAGAGAGAGAAGTTGGAAAATTTCTGAGTACAGACAACAGGACTAGACTTATCTGCATAAAATAAATCGAACCATATTTGCCTTTGACATTCCTTCAATTATCATATTTTGTCCTGCTCGAACGCGATACACTGATGAAACAGCAGAGAATTCCTTTCGGAAACTTGAAAAAAGGCTTCTCTCTAAATAATGCAGCAATTGTTCTGAGACATTTCATCTCTAACCAAAAGGCGAATGTCTCGTTGTGGATAATAAATAGACCAATAGGTTCTGCAGAAGTACTCTGAGCACATGAAACAGCCCTGTATGCTTAGAAAAACATTTTTACATCTGATGCAAATTTTTTACAAAAATGAAAAGCTTAAAAGGACCGATTGCTACAGCAGTGCAGCCATGCTTTGCGAGGAGTCGGTCATGGAGCAGAAAACCAGTTTGACTTCTCTTCTGCAGCAGCCAAATGAGTTGCATCAGTTTGTTTGATGAATGTCTGCTGTGGTTTTCAGCTCATCAGCTGTACTGATTGTTTGTACCTCCACGCTGTTGTTCGTTTGACTTTGAGTACCTGTCTACATCACGGCGATGGCTTTCTAAGTATTATTTACAGTCTCCGCTGAATGTCGTCTCCACTCGTATGGCTTTAGGTCTTAGAGTACAAGTTTCAGCGCAGTGCAAGAGTTCACTCAGAAATTACAAATTGTCTTTAAAAAGTAAAAGCAATAGTCTTTAAAGCGAGAAAAGAGGCAAACATGCAACATTTTTTTTTTTTTTTTCTTCTTTCAGTGTTCGGCTTTGTTATATCTTTCCTTCTCCGCCTTCTCTTCTCCCGATCTTCAGCTCTTTTTCAGTCAATATGGCCTCCAGACGGACTCATCCAAGCGACCCGAAGCGCTCATGGCCGTCGGGGAGTTGCTGTGGCTGCCGTCCGCCTCCACGCCCTCACTTTGGGTGTTCAGGCCCGGGTTCATCAGGCTATTGTTCCCTCCAGTGCCCGTGGCCCCCGAGCACGACAGGAGCCGGGTGGGGGAGCGCTCCCCTCCGGTGTTCCCTGGCGCCACCATAGAGAACTGGTAGGATCCGGAGCCCGTACCATAATACAGGTAAGAGTTGGACTGGAAGTTTTGAGACTGGTTATTTGAGTACGGGGGCGGCAGGTAGGTGTGGTATCTGGAGGAGGCAGACATGCTCAGGCCGCTGATGCCGGTGCTGGAGGTGTTGGCAGGGGAAGGGAAGGCCCCCGGGTAGTAGTGCATACGGTGGTCTGAGAAGCGAGGGTCCGTCAGTGGGGACAGAGACGGAAAGGTGGTCCTCTGTGGGAAGAGATCTGTAGTCCCTGCGTGAGACACAAAGACAAAACTATCATCATTCATCCACAACAGAAAACTGCTGCCACTGTGATGAAGCTGCAAATCAACCATTTCCCTTCTGCAAGCACCAGAAATCTCCATATTAATACACATTTCCAAAGCAGCAAACCATTCTAAACCTCAATTCTGTGCTGAAATTTCCTCTGATAAACCACTGTATGGAAATATTTGCTCTAAAGTAATGAACTGAGACATATTTGGCCTGCTAACAGTCATCAAACATTGACAGCACTTCATCCCACAACCTCCTGCACAAGACCCAAGTCATGAAAAGGCCCATCTTGAAACTGCCTCTCACTGGCTGTTCAAAAGGAAATCAACGTACCCTGAGCAATGAAAAGGAGCATTGTCAGCGCTGACGGGTGCTTTGTATAAACACCGACGGCTTGTTTCTGTGTTGTGCAACATGTCATAAATCATGCTTAGGTGAAACAGGCAGACGTTCACAATTAGATGGCTTGAAAAAGAGAGTTGGGAGGAGGAAGGAGGAGTTTTCTGCATTTGCCTAAATGTGTATAACAGAAGAGATCCTGTCAGAGTTAAACTGGAAGTGTGAGCTTACAGTTAAAGATCTGAATCCTTCAAGATCTTTACAAATGATTTAACAGCCGCAAAGGAAATGTGAATTAAATGAAAGGCTGTCATGCATGTCGGAACACCAGAAGTTGACTTGGTTTGCTTAATTATCACTTACTTTGAAAACTTCTCTGTAAGATTGTAACACCAAATAATTTTTTTTTCAGCTTAAAATGTCTGTATTGGAAAAACTTTTTTTGTATTAAATATTGTTCACCTTTTTTCTTAGAAAGTAAATAGTTTTTTTCATAAGCTATAATAAAAAAAACATCAAAATGAACAGAAAGCATTTTTAATTTGTCATACTGTGATTCATTATTTTATAAGATTTAATTTGTTTTACTTAAATAAATAAACTTTCTAATCCTATTTGAGTTTTTTATTTTTATTTTGTTTTGGCATGTACATAGAATATAAAAAATAAAATAAAAGTATGACTTCCCATGAAATTCAGCTATTTAAAACTAATATAGACCAAAATGTTTTCTGGCTGTGAAGCATGGGCGGTTCTAGACAGGGGCCAAAGGGGGTCGGTGCCCATGTAGATGTCCTGCCTCCTGTACCGAAGATATAATACAAAAATCAGTTCTAATGAAGTTCTAGGCACTGGAACAGACATGGTTACTGATAGGTCCTTTGGATCCATTTCACTTTTTTTCTTCAAAAAATTCAGTTTTACTAATTATTTAAAAACAAAAAGGTGACAGCTTCAGTGGTATTGAGATAGGATCCCAGTTTTTTACTGCTAAATGTTTTTTTTTTCAAAACAAATAAAAGAAACATAATTTTTACAGCTGAATTTATCACTTTTTTTGTTCTAATTCTGATTATATAGAAAACTGTAATTTTAACTTTAAGTTAGAAATATGTAAAATTCCTAAATTATAAATGTATATTGACCTAATATTTCAAATAACAGCTTTATTTGATCTTTTAGATTTTTACATAGCTACGGGATTTTTATTTTTATTTTAACGATAATCCAAATGAACATTTTACAGCCAAAAATAAATATTTTCAGTGGGAATAAATATCATTTTAATTAAACCTAATTCATGCAGCTCTCTTAATATATTTTAATCCCTTGGGATGTTTTTTTGTTACATGTTGGCCCCCTCTTGGCCCCCTGGTACATTTGGTTTAGAACCGCCAATGCTGTGAAGGTCATCTGGAAGAAGTTGAATTTAAGGGAAAGTTCCTCAGAACGGCTGTTAGCTTCGGGAGCACCACCTGCTGCCATTTATTTATTTATTCATCCACACAGAGCTCAATCTTTACTTGTTAATGTCCGAATGCGGCATTCTGTGGCTCAATGTGCTCACATGACTGTAAGTGTAAAATAGAGATTATGATAGCGGAGAAAAGAGAGCTTGTATTTATGAAACAGCAAATGCTTGTAATCCTTCACTCGGGGGGGGGGGGGGGGGGGGGGGGGGGGTGCAGAAGTACGTGCTGTATGGTCGTTTCAATCTTTCTATCTTTGTCTTGGGAACTGGGTCCATTTTCAGCCACTGAAAATAGAAAATGTTCCTTTGCAATTTCTATATCTACTGATATACTAGCCTTTTTTTTTATTCTTAACACATTTTTGGCATTTTGTTTTTCTTTTCTTTCATCAAAGCAGAAAGTGTCGCTAGTGGGGGTGCTGTTTCTTTTTCAACAATCTACCAGATTCAGCAGTCGGGTATATATCTGATTTCATGCGAGGAAAATCCAAGACATCAGCTGCTGTTGATTCTGGTGAAGTGGAGTCAGATTATTTCCTACCGGACTCCCAAAAAGCCTTTGCTCCCTCTCTGCCTGTGTGTCTGTCTGTCTCTGTGTGTGTGTTCCTTAATCTCTCCCTGCCTGGTCTAAATTTAGCCCTAAAGTAGGGGTGGGGGCACCATGATGGCCGTGGCTGCTGCGCACCCACTCTGCTCAGGATCTCTAGCTTTGATTGGAGTTGGTGGAAACACGTTGCCTAAACTCTGGCTGGGATCGACTCCTGCATCCTGTCAGGGGAAACTGGATTGGACACTTATCACAACACCTTAATGGGTTTGTTCAGGCTCAGGCTCTTGGCTGCAAGCCACAAGGTGTCTGCAGACACCTTTTAGGCTCCATGGTAAATTAGCTCCCTCTAGAGGAGAGAGAGAGCTAAACAAACTGTAACTAAGCAGAGCTGTGCTTCTTCTTGCTCCTGCATACCTTTTTGCATCCCCACCCTCCCCCACCCAGTGTAAGTACAGGCCTTGCTGTTGTGGCCGTGGTATCGGCGGTGCATCTCTGGCTGAGATGGTCCTCCCAACCGAGCCCCGCAGTAGTTGCCTGTAACCTCAGCTCCACAAACCCCACACATGATCTCCATTAGACTCATCTGAAACGTGTTGACTAAATTGCAGGGACAGGAGAAGGGATGGAACCCAGAGGGCTCCCTGGCACAGTCTGCTGTCTGTGATGTTCCCAGTCTGTGAAGTGGGTAGGTGGGAATCAGTTATTTTATTGAGAACATTGTGTTCCAGCGCTCCTTCTTTTCCTCCGCTGCTTCTAAGTTCTGCAAACTCTTAAAGGGCGGAGCTTTCCTCCTTTCCACATAGCTCAAGAAGTCCACTAGTCAACACTCAAGCGTGTAACCCAGATATGGATGGAGGTTTGTCTCATTTGCTTACAGGAGAAACTGATTTTGGTTGGCGGGTTCGAGACGATCGCCTCCCTGTGTGTTTGTGCATTTGGGCGTACGTGTGTGTGTGTTTCTGTCCGAATGTGGTAGGTGGCGATGGGAAGATGCAAATCCAAGCGCTCACCTGTGAAATGTTTACTCTGGCTTGATGCAAACTGTGACAGCCAGGGCCCGACGAATGGTGTCTCAGGCAAATAAGGTGGAGGGAAGGAAAAAAGGGCAAAGAGAACTCCAGATGGTGCAGCTACGTGCTGATATCCCCAAAGAGACCTCTCCTCTCCTCAGTATTAAATAATCGGACTGGTTTTGGCGGTTTTAACGGTGGATGCCGTTAATATGAGGAGTCACTTTTGATAACTATGAGTAGGCGGCTGCTGCTGCTGCTGTGCATACCAAAGAATCGGAGACTCAAATGAACACAAATGATTTCCAGGTGTTTATTTAAGCACCAAGCCTTCTCAGTCCCAGCTTCAAGCTGAATGCAAATGACAATCACCTCTGTGCTGTGGAAGCGCGGTCCACAGCCTCCAAAGCTTCATCTACGCCAGCGCTTCATCATGTCACAGCAGAGGGGTTTTGCATGTTCTCTACTTGTGACATGCAACACGAGATATGGGAAGTGGAATTTGTGATTGTAGAAAAACCTGAGATTTTACTAATGTATCAACAACCAAGGTGACATGATGACTTTGTTTATTTGTTAAGTAAATCTTTTTACTCAGAGATACATTATTTTTCCCTGTGACTTTCTAATCGCTACTGGTCTTTTGTGTCTATAGCTTATTTCAAATCTTCAAAGCACCAGTTTTGAAAATCATATTTCTATGTTCATCAATTGAGAATGAGGCTCTTAAGCCCCGTCTAAAGGTCTGCTTTGTGTCTGAAAGTGGCTCCTCTTTACAGTGGGAGTGGATGATTCAGCATGTCTGGTGTTGGTGGTTTCTGGGCAAGGCACGGATTAAAGGCAGTGGGGGCTGCTAAGAAAGCACAGACCCGCATCGGCTACAGACAAAGGAAAGAAAGACCGAGTAGGAGGGGAGGAAAAGGGGAGCCTTGGCAGTCGTGTTGGTGGAATGTAATGGGATGTAGTAAGGCTTTTCTCACTAAATAAAAACAGATCTTTGCCCTTATGTTGCATCCATGATGGTTTATTAAACTCCAGCCACTTTAAGCAGAGTCACACGGTTGTTTTAGTGTAGAAATATGAGGAGCTGATGTTAGTTTCTCACCTGGCCATGACCTCAGATCCTCCTCCACCTTACATGTCTTCAGAGTGGGGGTGTCCATCTGCTCAGGCCACAAACCTGCAATAAAAAACAAATGAACCAACAGATCAATATTGGAATCATCCTGTTATAAGTTACATGCAGTCATTTACTCAATTCCTGTTCATGCAAGATTTTCTTTGTAAAATTATGAATTAAAATAAACTTGTTATGTTTAATCTTCTCAACAATAAAAAAATAAGACTTGAAGTAAATGAAAAGCCCAGATTTTTCTCAAATATGTGTCGGTTGTGATTTATGCTTATAGCGGGCAAATCATTGTATTTGGCTTGAGAACATACAACACAATCCAAGTACCCTTTTTATGACAGACTGGCCCAAACTGTCCTGACACATGGCGGTTTGGAGATGTTTGTTCCTGTCACCGGTTGGCATCTGCTGACTGAGCTGTGAAGACTGGGAAGAGAAGGGGTGGGTTTCTCACCACAGTGAGACCAGGCTTGGAAAAACACGCTCCATGGGTGCCTATGAGGTATTTTTGGGACCTTCAGGCCAGACACTGGAGGAGGTGAGATCTCTGAAGGGTAGGACACTCAGTTGCCTGTCCAGCAGAGCTGTCAGGAGGCGAAGAAGAGGTCAAGGACCTGCTGGCCCAACGCGTGGGACCCAGCTTCACACCCGGCAGCTACACCGCAGCAGGCTCAAACAGCTGGTATTTATTCAACGTCTCAGATGGTATATTTTCTACAAGATAACCTGCACAAAGCTCTACGGACAAGCGGGCTGTTTAACTCAATTATTAGGCAGCCAAATTAATCCCAAAGTTTTCTGCTTTTTTGTGACCAGAGCAGGTAACCGTGATTGTAATCCCACAAGAAAATTCCCAATCTCTGATTGTGACAACTAGTTCTTCTAATGATGCCAAAGGGCAGAGTGTGGGGGGGTGGGCACTGAGCTTTTCAGCCACAGGTTGTGTAAGATCTTTGCTTCCTCTGGAGCCCCTCTACTTCCTTTGCAAATGTCCAAATCAGCACTCAGCCACCGAGAGGTCCCTCGCTACGCCTCACAATGGCAAATTCTTACACATAAATGGCCTTATTCAGAAAAGCTTGCAAGCAGCTGGTGCGATTCGCTCAAGAAAATAAACATTTCCTTCAAATATTTTGATTGGCCAGCAGACAACATCAATACCAGAGGCACAGATTACCCCTGTTAATAGGAGGACTAGCCCCCTAGGAGGAGCTGAGGAGTGGGGAACGGTGAAGTGTTGACTGCGTCACTAAATAGGCCGCCCTGGGATGGTTTCGCCGCAATTTTGGGGATGACAAGAATTAATCCCCCTGCTTTTGAAGTTTATGTGCAGATGAAAGGGATGGCTGAGATGTTGCTTGAGCCAAAATGGCGTCCCGTCCTCATGACTCCGGATCTAGCAACGCCTCTGAGACATGTAATGCATTTGGCATAATGAAGCGTGTCATTGAGACACAGTGAATACTGGTCCTTGTGTTGACTTCCTGTTTCGCTCAGGCCTTAGGCGTCGCACAGGGGAGAAAATGTGTGTATGAGAGAGGAAGACAGAAAGAAAGACGCCAAGCAAGGAAAGCAGAGAGAGAAGGAGAGCGTGTTACAGAGGGGAGGAACACGGCCTTGGCTCAGCTATGCGGGATATTTGATATGTCTTTTGAGCCCTCACTTATAACGTGAGCAAAAACAAACACACAGGCTAAAAAATCCTACATTTTCGCTCCCTCGCCCGCCCTTCCCGTCTCTCCCCTGACTCAATAGAGACTGTTCATGGCATACATGTAGTTTCTGTAATTGCTGAAATGTTAGACTCAGCCTCACTCTGATGTGAAATTATAACTTACACAAACAGTAGAGCCTGGTTTAAAAAAAGATCTCGCTCACTCTCACTTCTCCTTTTTCGTAGATTTTCACCAAGTCGGTGGCTTCAAAAGATTTCTCTTTTATACACAAACATTTTTAGTTTGAAAATTGATTTCTGGGTCACGAGAAAAAACAAAAAAAAAAACTAACCACAAGTAAAGCTTTCAGACACCATGACAAATAAACTCCGTGGCAGCCGCTGGCATATTATGTAAATATTTAAGTGCAGAAGTAAAACACGGCGTCTAAAAGACTCCAGATTCCTTCTTCTTTTTGGTGATGCTATCGTCAGACCATTCTGCCTTGGTTTGCCAGAAACCTAACGAGCATGACGCCTTCTCTCAAACCGGCCTGCCGCTACCTGACTGTGCTAATTTCCTGCCCTGCTACCGCTTCTAATTGGCTTATCATGTCACTCTCAACGTGTGAATTAGTTGTGTGCCTCCCGGCCGAGGCGCCGGCAAGCGGTGCCTCCTCAAACCCGGGGGTCTGGCCGGCTTGTTTATGCGGAGTAAACAGTGTGGTCGCTGTGGACGAGTCAGGAGGAGGTACAACTGTACTAAAAACCTTCTCAAGTTAAGTCCAGGCCAGAGGCCACGGCGTTAGGATACAGAGTCCAACTGCCAAAGCACAGCTGCAGCAGATGAGTGCCAGTTCAGAGAAATGGAGCCAGAAGTAACAACATTTGGATTGAGTATCATACATGGAAAGGATTTGCTCTTTCCTATGTACGAAGCCATGCAAAATATTCATACTTCTGTGTATTTGGGATTTCACATGATCGAACTACATGGAATAGAACATAATATATAAAAAAAATATTTGATGGATAGGTTTTAAACTATATTCGGATTAAAATCTGTAAAAAATGGCATACCTCCTGTAGACTAGCTTTGGTCAGCTACATTATGTTTGAAATGGTGATTCTGACAGGGAAAATGTTTTTTTGTTTTTTTCAGATACCAGGAACGCATCTTCAGCAATACTAATACATATCAAACTGGCTTGCCAAAGCCTGTTGTGACCACAGTAATTATTTCTTGAATGGTAGTGAAACATTTGATCTATTTAGGTGAAATCACCTGGCAGCAGGTGAGGATGAGGTCTAGAAAAATAGTTATAATATATAGAACCTGTTCATCATCTCATGGGTTCCTCCTCATGTTCATTCAGTCTTCCATCACACAGTTAATACTGAGTGCCTGTTTGCAGCAGCACTTCAGATGTCATCATCCCAATAAATGGCTGTTATTAGCGGCTATCAGTCCTATAGAATGGCTTCAGATTGTGGCAGTAGGTCCAGTAGGTTGTTATCATCGAGTGAATCCTAATCCTAACCCTAAAGTAAATTTTTCCCCCCCTGTGGAATAAATGAATCTATTCATGTGTAATCTGACAATAATTTCAGTAGTTCTTCATGTACTGTAAATATAACTAAATAAAAAGTCAGATCGGGTGGAAAGCATTCTCCCGGTACGATGCTGCTACCGCTATGTTTCACTGTGGTGATGATGTGTTTGTGGTTATGTGTGGTGAGTTTTTTTTTTTTTTTTTATGGGTTAAATGGCTCAATTCATGCGCTAAACAGATTTAACAGGTTCTGCTACCTGAGCTGTGGATAGCTGCAGCTCCCCCAGAGTTAGCCATCTGCTATTCCTCATGTTGCTTTTTTTTTCTTTATTGCTAAAATTTGATTATCACCTTTAGTCTATTTAGTAATTAGGTGGGACAGTAGTTCCATTAGATTTTATTTATTGGTGTCAGAGTATCGGGCCACATTTTTAGGTTTTTGTTCAGAAAATTAAATTAAATTGAAACTGTTCTTTCCACCACTTCATCATTTATGCAGTAACCCCTGTTTGCCTTACAGCATGAAATCCCCATAAATGACAGAGGTTTGTGGTTCTATCTGGACTAAATGCAAAGCTTTTTGCAAGCGGTTGTTCAAATACGAGCGTGGTTTGAAAAATGAATTGAAGCAGGATTGTATCAGTTCTGTAAGGTTTTAGCAGCAGATATTGATACCGTCACCACACATAGCGAGACGCCCAGAAAGGCTTTGGAGCCCTCATCAAAGCTCTGGATGGTGGAACGTTACGCTTTGGGTCTGATATTCATCTTCACAGGGGGAACACACAGGTGTTGGAACAAATAACATGTCAAATGACACCACCTCAAAAGTGCCAACACTTTCTGTTTGGATGATTAAATTGCTGCTGCGTTTCCTCTCCCCCCCTTCTTAACTGTTAAAGCAAGAAAAAGTAAAAAAAAAACGTCTGTTAGAGCTCATGCCAGGAGCATGTTGAGTTTTGTCTGGAATAAGGTAAAAACTAAAATCTGTTGTTTTTTTTTCACTCTTTGAGCTAAAACACTTCTTTAATCATGCCTTCTGCCTTTCTTTTAGACTGGAAATACCTGTGTACACACACTCCAGTGCTGTCAAACTCACATGAACCTGGAGCAAGGGAAAAAAAGAAAACGATGCCACCCACAGATGCATGCGGCTACACATGTATCTCACTTGAGGTTTTGAAAACCAGAATAACAATTTAGTGCTTGATTGTCTGAGTGTCAGATTTGCTTGGCTGCACCGGGCGAACCACACATTTTCAAATACACACACACACACACCCCTCTCCCCCGGCAGAGTATCATTCCACATGTCTAGTACGCTTACCTGTGGCCACCGAATAACAAAAACAAGCAGCGAATGCGGCGTCTGCCAGCAAGCAGGAATCCTGTCACTGCATGCACTGTAATGAGCTCTTAATTACTCCGTCTGTCTCGTGCGCCAACAGAAAACTTACACCATCTGTGTGTGGGGGTGTACCTGTTTAGCCATTAGACTGAGGACCATTTTTCCAATTTCACCATCAAATTTGTTGCAAAGTGAGCACATTTTGGAAGTCCTCACATGCTATTTTGCTAATGGTTAGTTTTCGGCCTAAGGTGTCAATTGGTTAGGGTGAGGTACGCATTGGTAATGGTTAGGGTTTGTTTTAGGGTTAGGGCATAGAAAGGGTTGAAAATGACTGAAAATCAACACATGGTCCTCACTACGATGGGAGAACGAGTATGGGTGTGTGTGTGAGAGAGAAACGTTTTTATTGTTATTTTTCACTTTTATTTTTCATGGTGCAACTCTGTGATTTAAGATTTTGCACAGATGTCTGAAGACGCGTCCTGCTGACAACAGAACAGACGGTATTTCACAGCCCAGACGACGGAATGAAGCAAGAAGGATTTGAGGAGAGGTGACACCATATTTTCCCTCCTCTTCTTTTTCTGGTCGTTCTCAGGGGGGAAAATGTAGGATAATGGAAAACATCTTTTGTAACAGCGAGGCGGGAATCCATTTAATTATAACTTGCTGATGGGTGATCTATCATTCAGCAATACTCAAACAAACAGGCCTCGCGATTTAAAGTATCAGCGGAGCATAAGAGCCTCTGGCGTAGCTGTAAAAAGCAGAGACGTGCGTGTTGTTGATATGTAAACACCTCCCCACGTCTCTTGGTGGGATTTATTACAACTAGTCTATTTTTGTTAGAGCTTTGCTTCTAATTTTGCAGCCCTTGTTGTCCGCACGTACTGGATGCTGCTCAGCAAAGAAGTAGTAGGGAGGGCCCGGCCATCTTGCTCTTTTATTTAATTATTTTACCACTCTTGCCCTGGGGTGTGGGATATAAAACGCTAATACCACAGATTAAGGTGTGTGGTTTTTACGGCCCTTCCCCTCCTTTGCAGCTGTAACACGAAGCTCAAGGACTTCAGCTTGTCTGACACTTCCAGCTGATGTTAACATGTTTTGTCGGCCCTCCGTATATATTCGCCGCGCGAGTGTGTGTTGCGACACAGCAGCCCTTTGAAGACTCGAAAGCCTGTGATGCTCTAATTCCCGTCCTAATCCTGCGCGAGGAGTCTGCCGTCTGGACTGTGTCTGCACACCTCTGCGCCCCGCAGATTCAAGACAGTCCTCAGAAGCTTAAAGCTCCCAGTATAAGCCTAGCTGCAGGGGACTTTCTGCTGGCAGACAACCCACAGAGCTTCTGCCAAAACAGAAAATTACCATCATAGTGGCAGCATTGTGCACTGTACATAAAAAAAGGAGCAAACTATTTCAGAGTTTAGCGGTTGCTGCTGTTTCTAAAATGACTGATGTGTTTTCATCCCAGCACAGAATGTGCAGGGAAACAACATTGGCAGTAACAGAAAGTAAGGACATGGGGCAGAATAGGTGAAGCACCCTGTGTTCCCAGCAGTCAGCTGTTAGATTAGGCCCAAACTGGTGACTCAGCGCTGCCTAAGCTTAAGCACAAGGCCAAACACTGTACGGCTGTGATGCACTGAGATAGGGGCGTGCCCACGCACAGCTCCCAAACAAACCCTCCTGTCCGCAGCAACACGCTTGCACAGAGGTAATGAGAATCATTAGGCAGCATGAGAACTTGGGAGTGGGCGGGAGGGGAGTGAACACATTTATCCAGCATGCTTCCAGATATCCCACTGAAGAGGCGCTGACACATGATGAGGAATGAAGACTCATCCTCAGCCCGGCCGTCATCCAGGCAGCTGTTCACACACACACACACAGCAATGATAACAGAAAAAAGAAATTCCTACCACCTCAGTCTAAGTCACAGTCTTCCTGCCACCCCCACACATTTGACCAATCTGAGAGTGACGCTAGTGCCAAGGTAGCGGACGGCTGTTACATTCCCGATGCTGTAATGTGAGGTTGAGTCGACTGGCAGGACTGGCTGTGTCACCTGGCAGTTGGTTCTGTGGGTTTGGGGGTTATCTAGGACAAACCCACCCCCGCCCCCTCGACACATTCACAGCCAACTCAAACTCAGTCTGAATGCCTCTTCCTAAACCCCTCCACAGCATTCCAGCTCTACATAGACTTTCTCTGGGTGAGGAGATTATTTTTCGGTGCTGTGTTTTCATTTGGAGGAGGTTGGCTCTGAATGTCTTAAGTACCCACCTTGCGTGGTGCTGAGATGCGTCTGATGGATGGGGCGAGGGTTGTTGTTCACTGGGCCTATCCGCATAGTCCGCTGGTAGCGCTCGATTTCTGATAGCCGGTCAGAGAACTGCATCTTTGTGGTGTCTTCCATCTTCACTCTGTGCCCTGAAAGAGTGAGAAACATGCAACTTTAAAATTTTTTGCAAAGACAGATTTAACTTTTCTAAAGGAAAAACTTAGTTATTTTAATATCAACAAATATTAGGAAGTTTACTTATTAATTATTAGATTAAAAAAATGACACCTATGCATCACATAGATTCTTTCCACGCAAAAAATATTTCCAGTATTTATTTCACTGGAAATAAGTAAAAAAGTATTAAATTAAGTGTATTTACCCTTAATTTGAGTAGGCAAGTTAGATAGCTTGCCAATGTAATGCGTACTTTTGCTCTTAAAATAAGATAATTAGATAATATGCACTTGAAATAAGACAATGCAATTGTTTTTTTCTTATTTTAAGTGCAAATGGTCTTGTTCTATTGGCAAAATGTCTCTTTTACCTCCTCAATCCAAGAACTAATGTACTTATTTTAAGAAAAAAATTACTTAAATTAAGTTTTTTTCCAGTGTATGTATTAATTAGCTGTTATAAAGCTAATATATTAGAAAATAAGAGGTTTTATATGTTACAGATTTCCTTTATTCATTAAAACCCCAGACTCAAGTTGTCCGACACACATAAAAGGCCATTGCTCATGCTGGGAGTTAAGAGTGCTGCATCCAAGCATTTGAATGAAAAGTTTAGTGGAAGAAAAAAGTGTATCTCCTGCACCATATGGTGTCTAAACTGGAAAAAAATCAAAATCTAGATAAGTCATTTTTTATTGAAATAAATGCATTTTTTTTTTTTGAATTGAGGAAGAAAGTGAGACACTTTGCCAATGAAACAAGACCATTTACATTTAAAATAAGATAAAAAGAATTGCATTGTCTTTATTTTAAGTGCATATTCTAATTATTGTATTTGAAAAGTGAAAATATTCATTGCATTGGCAGATCGCCTTATTCACCTACTCAAATTAAAGGCAAATACACTTAATTTAAGAAATTTTAGCTTATTTCTAGATTGTTTTTGCAGTGTAACGTTGCTGGAAACACAGATTTGCTGTTTAGATTCTTTAGATGTTTGATGCAAATCTGTTTCCATTTCCTTATATTGGCTTTTATATCAATGAAAATTCAATCTCATTAATATTAAAGCTTAGAGAGTAAATGCATCTGTTGGCTAAGAAATGGTGTCAGCGGCCCAAAGTTTGCCCCCTTTCATTAATCCAAGATAAGCATTTGTAAAGAGGAAGCCACTGTTGCCATGTTTTCAGCTGCCAAACACAAAAATATTATTAGAATGTCAGCAGACCTTGAAATACATCGGCTAGACACTAACTAAATGTTGCTCAAGCTGCACCTGCTGCCACGTCATCGGCAGATAACGATAGTGTAAGTTGTTGAAAATAATAGCTGGAGGAATGTTTTTTTTCCCCCGAACCTGAAGTTTAATAAAGTGTGAATAACTGCATTAGGCATATCTGCAAAGAGATGAGGTTAAATGATCTTTATCTTTACTACCTCATTTGAAAGGAAAGCAAAAAAGGTGACTACATCTACCCCTAATAACATGCCCTTCTCTCACTCTCTCACAGAGACACTCACAGCCCTTCACAAACACAAATTGAGGTCTAACTGACACAGCACTTAGTCATAAGGGAGCACCCAGACAAGGTTATGAGACCTACAGTCATCAGTCTTCAACAAAACAGAAAAAAAAAACATGGAAGAGGGAGATGCTTATATGCACAAATAAACCTGAACATGTCCAGTGTGGACGTGTCCAGGAGGTAAAGACCAACTCCAAGAAGAACAAGTGACTCATTTCTGCTGCACCTACAAAACTAACCAACGCACTGAGTGCCCTTACCACTCTGCGGTCCCCTTTGGGGAGCCGTTCTGATTACGCGGACGGACGCATGTGTATTTGCACATGCACAGGCTTCACATGTGAACACACCTTAAATGTCAGTCGTGAGTGCGGATGCCTCTAATGGGGAGAAGAGATTTTAATGTAACTATCAACGCACCAAAACTGTGTGTGTCAACCAGCATGTATACATTCTGTGGTTTTCTCCCTGGCATCTCTACAGAGTAGCCTAATGTGGAGTAATGGCTGTATTTGAATATTTTATCACTATATAAAGAGGGCAGGGCAGACGGACCAATATGGATTTTGCCCGTCCTTTCTCTCAACTGACCCATGGGCAATATATCTTCGCTCGGAGGCTGACCCATGGGTAAAGTTTCCTCCTGTTTACCGCTCTGTCCATTTGTTTGGGCCAACCGCCTCCCTTTAATCTCCTTCTTAAAAACTATAGAGAAATGTCAAGCTTTGACGCCCCCTAGGACGTATTTTTATATTATAGTCTGCAAGTTTTAAAGGGCGTTCACCAGTCACACTGAAGAAACAATCTATAAATAAGTAAATATTTCTTAAATCAAGTGTATTTACCCTTAATTTTAGTAGGTAAATAAGATGATTTGCCAATTGAATGAGTATTTTTACTCTTAAAATAAGATAATTAGATAATATGCACTTGTAATAAGACAATGCAGTTGCTTTTTCTTATTTTAAATATAAATTGTCTTGTTCCATTGGCAAAGTATCTCGCTTATCTCCGCAATTGAAGACAAAATGCACTTATTTTAAGCAGAAATTACTTGATTTCATTTTTTTAGCAGTGCAAGATTGTTATCCTGCTGATTTTCTTTTGTGACTGTGTAATAAAAGACAAATGTGCTGCACATTCTATGTTTACTGCACTTTGATCTTGTTTCTTTATACTTTCACTTATTTACCATCCTTGTCTCTAATACAACTCCATTATGTCTGCCACACTGTTTTTGTGTTTTGATGTCTTTCACAGATGCTACTAAAGAAATGGGAACAAGCTGTTTTTTTGATAAGAACTTTGAAAACAAAGTGCCTAAGGATAAAATAAAAAATGAGGCTTTTGTTAATTTGTGTTAGAGTGTCAACAGCAGACCAGTTTGTTACTCTGGTTCAGAGGAGTTTCGATTGTTATAAAGATGACTGAGTTCACTGAACAAGCCTATTTTCTGTTTTATGCAACAGTTTTAAATTAACAACTAGGAATTTTTTCAGCATCTTTAATGAAGCATTTCCCTGTCTAGGTTTAAGTATGTCACTTAATTCTACATTGGCCAAAGGATAAAAATCAATCCTTTCTTCTGTTATGTGCTTAACTAAAATAAAGATTAACATAACTTAAACTTTGTTTATAAGATTCTCTGTTTATCGAACAATCCTTCAGATTGAATATTTAGGATTTGCAACTGGATACAATTGAATGCAGCTCACCGTTATCCAGTAGCACTACTCTAACTTAGTAAAATATGCATCTTTTCCAAAATAAGAGCCTTAAAACATAGGCGAGCTTTACATATATGTTATAAATTAAACTTTTTTATGGGATGTTATATTCGTCTCAGAAGTCATAGATTGGATGTTTTATTGAATTTTTCAGCTGCATGTTAGGAAAACTATGGGTTTTGCTGATTTATGCAGTGCTAACTACTATTAGCAGGAGGTTAATAGTAAAACACCTCATTAAAATATGCTCATAAATAGGTTAGTGGTTTTAACCCTTTATTAAAGCCTGAACCATGAAAAAATTGAAAGAAATTAGAATGTCATTGAACTTTCTGAATGCTGTTGTATAAGTTAAATTAGATCATTTATATGCATCAAATTTGTTACATTAGGCAATTCCGTGTAATCTTTTATACTTTTTCTGTTCACTACATGTATCTGAATATTTAAGATATTATTTCAACAACAAAACATCCCACTGATGATGCCGAAGTCTCAAAAACTCATGTATCAAATATGATACACTTGGCTTTAAAGGGTTAATGAGATCCATATTACCAGACTTACAGGTAATTGGTTAATATCTCCAACTTTCACTAGTAAAATAAAGTTTGGAATTACAGTTTCAGTTTTGAGATCACTCTCTCAGAATGTCCAGCTGAAGCTGACGGCTACTGGGTACCGACTTTTAGGATGAGTTCACTAACAACAAGAACTTTTAGGTTATTTCAATTTTGTGTTTCACTCCTAAATTTTCAACGTCGGAATGATTCATAGGTAAGAAGTAGGTACCTAACCTTAACTAACCTTAATTTACAATGGAAAAAAGCTTTAAAAAACATTCAAAACTGTTAAAATGGTGAGCAACACCTGAGTACTATATCTGACTCATTGGAGAAAATATAACAATGAGGGATAATGAGTGAGAATCTAGTAGTAGAGAACTCCAGGGTGTTTTTCATGTTCTGATCAGCAGTAACCTTGAACTTTAAAAGTTTTAGAAAGACTCAGTTATGACTAATCTACCAGAGCAGGGGCTGCAGCTCTTCTGTTGCTCTGAAGCAGCTTGATTTCCTGAACATAATGACACCAAAGGAAAAGATAGTCTGCCTTTTTGACGGTTTGGTCTGTGCCGTTACTTGGGAACACCCCCTTCCTAGTTCTCTCTCTGATATCTCTTTATTCAAATCCTTTGCAGTCTTCTCTTTAAACTGTGATGGAAGGAATGAGGGCCGGCGTTTTCTGTGTGTGACATACAGAGACTACTGTGGGTTCCAGACCAGCGCAGTGCCAGGCAGGGGTAGCAGCCCTCCAAATATAGCCCCTATTTGTGTCCTTGTGTAGTTATTAAGAGATTTACTCCACCTCAAACGGCTGAGGTCAGGGAAATGATACATCCCACTGCTCTCTGGCTGGCAAGAAAAAGCAGACGCCACAGAGAGGGAAAAAAATAATTGGTCAGTTTTTCTGTTTCCAGTGGTGGTCTGAGATGAATTGGCTCTTTAGAGATGAAAGTGATCATTCAGCCGCCCACAGACACACACACACACACACACAAACTCGAGCTACAGATCCTATGGCCCAGTTCCAGCTGGCAGTGATGCACGCTGACACACGATGCATGTGGCGCGATGTTCACAGCATCCAGCAGGGGGTTTAGTGAGATGTTTTATTTCATTTTTATTTTTGGGAGGAGTGGGTGAGATTTAGATGCAAAATT